TGTTTATGCAGTAAGCAAATAATTTCAGCCATAGAATGAAATGTATTTGGTTAGATTACTAGTTTATAAGTACTTTGCCTCAACTTTGTCATAGCAGTGACAATTAGTTTATTGTGCTTTGTGAAATTCCTATTACAGTAAATAGTTTTAATCCATGGCTCTCCTTGGCAGTCCTCTAAGTTGGGTTAGCTTAAGGAGGTTAGGCTTGGGTTTAGTTCATTTTGTCCAAAAGTGTGTGTTCTAAATGCTTCAGTTCAAAAATTGTATCACATGAAGTGTTTTAAACTATGGTGCATCATGGAGAGAAGTCCAATAAATAAGCAATGTTATGTTGTGTAAACTGTTATATTCATTAAAAAAATGCAGCTTTTACTAAAATAAGTGTATGCATTTGTATTCTTCTAAAATAAAAATTTATGATGCCGGGAGGGACATAGATGACTTTTTATCATAGGGTGTAAAGTATGATATTCTGTTCTGCCTGAGGGGTGCAGGGATCTGGGCAGTGATATTCAGATGTAATTGGAATGGATGTGGCTGAAATGATTTTACTTTCATGTTCAGGAAGAGAAGTGAGAAATTTTAAAGTGTTTGTGTTTATGAAACTGCAAATATTAATTTTGCAGAGATTTAAGGCACCGATTTTGTCTCTTAAACTCAGACTGGAAAAATCAGCCCAGTATTGAGAGGGTCCAGAGTGCTGTATTTACAAAGTACAATGAGTGTCTTATGTATCTTCTTAAGGCACCAGTCTTGTTATGCAACCTCATTGTAGAAAGGTCCAAAACCTTCAACACTTCCCCAGCTTAAAATGGGTGTTGGGATTTCCTGGTTGCCCTCCCCACCCCCGTCCCCACTGAATCATAGCTATGGTTCATTCTCAAGAGATTCTAGGAATATGCTAGTGCTGTACTTCAAATATGTATCCACTTTCTTAAGATAGTCCATTCAAACTGTCTTATTAATCATAATTATGCTTATGGACAGGAATATGATTTTATCTGACTTCCATGTGTTTCACATTCCTTATACAGCCCACAGGGTTCTGTAGAAAGCTCGGTGCCTCACCCAAACTTCCCATGCCCAATTCTGCCTCCTTCTCAGATTTGTCTTACTCCCTCATACCTGATTCAAGCTCTCACCACTGGATAAAAAAGATCTTTCATCAACAGCTGATTAGAAGAGTTTGAATTTCTTACAATTGGACTATTTTGAAACTAATTTACTATTCAATTTGACTATTTTGAAATTAGTTTCAGAGCTGGATATTTTTAAAAGGGGTTACTCCTAGGAGGGATGGACTACCTGTCCTGCTTCTAATGCTGTGATTTTGCTTGAAAAATCAATTCCCCAAACACTCTACAAGGGTGTTCTAAATTTGTTGAGTCAATTCATATTTTAAAGGTGCATTGTGATTTTGTGAGGAGGTTGGGAAAGCAATGGGAGGAATGTTAGACTTAACCAAGAGAAGGAAGGAGTTGTACCCCAACATGTTGTAGGGTTTTTTTGAACCCCCAATAATCAGATTGACACAGACTCAGTAGACACAAAGCACAGGAAACTTACTGGGTTTTTGTATCTGTCTTCATGGCGGGGGGGGGGTCTTTATTTTATGAAAGGAAAGCTTACAATAAAAGAAATAGTAAATTATTTAAAAAACCTACAACATGTTGGCGTACAACTTAGTTTTAAGGGAGAAAAATGGTGCAACTAAATGTTTGTGCAGTGATTGAAGCCTCCAGTTGCTCAAATAACTCAAATCCACAAACTTTTCTACATAGCAGTCCTAACATACTTTCTGTGGGAAAATTCCAAATATTTTTTTTATTCCAAATAAATAAATTCCAAAGTAATTTTATTCCAAGCAAGTACTCCAAGAAAGTTATCCAAAAGAACTTCTGATAAATGAAATTACTGTTAAAAAATCAAACCATTATAAAAGAATTCCAGTAACATCTATACATTAAATCCAAGTCTTATTTATAGCAAGATTTATACATTTTTGCACCTCTTCCACCCAAAACTATGTAATGGTCTGAACCAGTGTTTCTCAACCTCAGCAACATTAAGATGTGTGGACTTCAACTCCCAGAATTCCCCAGCCAGCATGGTTGAGAAACACTGGTCTGAACAACCCTCTTTTTGGGGGTTGAAGGCTTGGTTTTCATTTGTCTCTTACTTGTTTTTTTGGTTAATGGACAGTTCTGATACATGGTTTTCCTCCAACCATGTGAGAACTAAGGCTTTGGCTCATAGGACAATTAATCAGGATTGAGAAAACATCAAGCATTTCCTTCTATCCCCATTAAAAATGAGATATTTCCTTTTCAAGGCACTGTGCAATTGAGTTAGAAGAGATTGTACCCCAACCTTCCGGACTGGGGAACTACCAATCTGAATGCCTAAAATGCCAGTTTACAATACTGGCCACAATCCAGCCATTATACTTGGTTCACAATGGGACAGCTTTGCTTGAATCTAACAATCAAGAGAAACAGATCTGTGGGTCATCACGTGCTAGTAGCATCCAAGTCTTTGGATAACCTCACTCAGAAGGTTCATCCAGCGAGAGAGATCAGCCCGAACCTTGGAGGATCCAGTTCAAATGCTACGAAGTTGGGCCTAATAGCTGTATTGGCATACTTTCCTAATATTACTGGCTGAAACCAAAACGTAGCTAAGAGCGGAAGCACCATATTCACTCAGTATACTATTAATATAAAAATATGTAAATTGTAGCCTGTGAAATTCCATTCCTGGAAGGAACGTGGTGGGATGCAAAAAGGGCGGTTGGAAGCTGCGCACAGCATGTCGGCTGCTTCCCTTCTCAACCCGTTAAGGCAGTGTTGTCCAAACCTGGCCCCTTTAAGATGAGTGGACTTCAACTCCCAGAATTCCCCAGCCA